ATCTACGGTTCTAGTTTTACCTGAACTTATTAGCCAATTAAAATAACTTTGAACATCACATGACAAGAGTATGCCTTTGGACTTGAAACATGCTCATGGGCATGCTTTAAGGGCATACCCTTAGGGCCTATGCCCTGAACCTGGGTTTACTTATTTTCCACTGTGATACAAAATACGTTATTTTATTGCGTAATTTTTTAATTACTAATTAAATAATATTATACTGATATTAGTCCTATTAATATATTATTAAAAATTTTAATTTTTAACGAATATTTAATTCATCCAAAATTATTATTTAATAAAATAATAAATGTTAGAGGAACTTATAGACGATGAAGAAGCGTGTTTTGACAGTTTTTTTAATGTATTTAATGACTTTGTAGAAACTCTTGAAACTAATATAATTCCTGACCATCTTCTACCACCTAATACTACTTTATTCGTATGTGAAGGTATTCAACGTGGTAGATTTTCTTCGGGTACAGAATACCTTGTTCCATTAGGTACTGATATTGAAAAATGGATACATGATTTTAGTTATAATACACATGCAAGTTATGTACGAGAAAGGACAGAATACAATGCTGGAAATATTGAATTTCGATATACTTATAAGTGTCATCGATCAGAAAAATATGAAAGTCAAGCAGGTCAAAATCCTACAAAAAAAGCAAGAATTAATCAAAAAGATTCAAAAAAACTTGGTTGTGAATCTGCTATTATAATTACTAAAATTAAAGGAAATTGTCCTCAAATAATCATTAAATATACATCTCATTCTAACCATATTCCAGGTAGTGATAATGATATTGGAACTCTTAGACTTTCAAAACAAATTCAAGATTATATTGCACAACAAATCCGTATTGGTTTAGATGTTAAAGCAATTGGTCGAATTTTTAGAAAACGTGCACATGATTTAGATAAAATTTGGAGTCAATGTGAGTATCTAAAAGCAATTCAAATTCGTGATCATCTTATTACTTACGATGATATATATAATGTGTGGAAAGAAGTAATTAAGGAGGATCAAATGTTACATGAAATTGAAGAGAAAAGTCTTGATTTATGGCGATGTAAACTTTTAGAAAATAAAGATTTGACTTGTGTGATTTCTCAACCCGAAAATGATAATGAGGATAAAGGTCAACTCTTAGGTTTTATAGTTCCTATTGCAAAAGAAATAATTTATCAAGTTAATACAATTTTACTTGATGCAACACATAGTACTAATAAGGCGAATGATTTACTTTATACACTTCTCTCATCTGATTCTAAAACCGGAAAAGGAACTCCTTTTGCACATCTTATCTCTTCTTGCAAAAATACTGTGTCTGTGCAATTTTGGTTAAATTGTCTTCGTATTCAATTATCAAATTGGGAAGGCCTAATATCTTTTTTAGTTGATTGTGACCTTGTACAAATTAAGGCACTTCGAAATATCTTTCCTAGAAGCAGAATTCTATTGTGCTGATGGCATGTACTCAGAGCCTGGCGTGATAATTTAAAAAAAATTTATATTGAAAAGGCGGCCCTGACATTAGCATTAGGTAATAAATTAAGCTCTGAAATAAAAAAACAAATAAAAGATGAACTATGGAATGATCTAAATGAATTAATGCAAATTGATAATCGTGCGAATGTTGAAGGATATATCGTAATTTTTTAAATAAATGGTCAAGCTCAACTTCATTTATTTCTTATTTTAAAAAACAGTGGTTAAATAAGCTAGGTAATAGTGGAATTGATAAGAGTATGTGGATTAAAGCATATCGTTTAGATGTTCTTCATAATAATATGAATACAACAAATATGCTAGAATCCTGGCATAAAAAGCTAAAATATTATATTTTTGATGAAAAATATAATCGTTGTAAAGACATTCTTATTTATGAACTATATATTAATGGAAATAGTGATGCTCGATAGCAATGGAGATTAGCAGAAATTCATGCAGGACGGATGATGCCAGCAGAGCGAGAAATTAAACAATGTAAACAACAAGCAAAAAGTTTAATTCAAAAAATAACTGAAATTATTGTTGGATGATACTGGATAGTTTTATCTGAATCAAGACCTGATGTTAATTATTCGATTGAAAGGAATACAGAATTTCAAGATCAATTAGAAAAGCAATTTATTTGCGCTTGCAATGACTTTCAAACCCGGTTGCTTCCTTGTAAACACATTTATGCTATAATATTTCATTATTTTTCAACTAATCAAGATTATATTACACAACAAACACAATCACAACTACAGTCACAATTACAACCACAATCGCAACTACACTCACAATCACAACAACAACCACAATCACAATTACAGCTTCAATCGCAATCACAATTACAACTTGTTCAGCAACAACATGTTAATGAAATTCAAGAAATGACAAAAAGTTTAAGCAATCTTAATATTTACAGTTTACAAACTGTCCGAAATCAACTATCACAAGTTCTTCGAGAGGTCCAAAGAATGGATGAGTTCAATACTAATAATTGGGTTAAAGAAGATGCAACAATGCAACTTCCTTCACATATGAATATTACAAGACAAAGGCGATAATCATAAAATTATTATAATAATGCTTAATACTGTAATAAGTTTAAAATAAAAACAATAATTTAAATAAATAAAGTGCTTTATATTAAAATCATGCTAAAATTTTTAAATTAAAATAATTATAACATTTAGCCTTAATATGTTATTTCGAAAACTTGTATTATTTTTTATCGCAATTATAAAAATTTATAATACTATCACATGATTGTATGTTACACAATTCAAATTAAGTTTGTATCACAGTGGAAAATAAGGGCACGCCCTGAACCTCATGGGCAGACATTCGTATGATTGGTTAATTTTTGTAGATCTACCCGTGATTTCCCGTGATCATTAACCAATC